TGTGTTAATATTCATCTTATTACAGATAATGGGAAAAAAGTTCAATCACTAATCAATTGGTTCAAGGCCGAGGAGGAAAGTAAGTTTTTTTTTTTTTAACTTTGTTTTTTTTTCTTTAATTACATCGTTTATTTTTTAACTTTTATTGTAGGAAATAACAGTGAAATAGATGATGATGGTAATTAATAAAATGATTATATATATAGATTAGAACGCAATTTCTTGTAGTTTACTTTTTCTTAAATTTTATATAATCATCAAAATGTATAAATTTTTTCATTGTAATAAATTCTGTCTTTATCTTAGAAATATTTAGTAGACATCCATTCATTTGAAAATACGTGATATAATAATTTTTATTTTTTATAATTTCAATTTAGATTACGCGAATGGGAGATATAAATGCAATTTTTGTAATCAGATTCATTCTGGTGCACTCCCAACCCAATTACAAACATTACAATTTTCGACAAACGTCGTTGATCAATTTGAAATTTGTCGTTTTCACAATTCGGAATCAGTCATCGTTCCAGATGGTCTTCGCAAAAATTATCCAAAAAATATTGAATTTGATCAGTTACCCAATCGTATCAATAAATTGTTTCCGCAATTGTTTGAAATCGTAACTAAAAAAACGAAAAGTACTTATAGAGATTTAGCAATGGAAGTATATAATGAGGTGGGAAATAATAGAGCAAGAAATCCGAATGTAGTTATGTCAAGATTTGAGGTCTTTTTAGTGAGTGTCAGTTTTATTATTGTTGTTATATAGATTTTAAATACCATTCAAATGCCAAATCTTTATTCTTTTCTACTCCTATCCCGTTCTGATAACATAAACCAACACCATACATTCCACAGCAATGTCCATATTCGGCACTTTTTAAATAATATTCAAAGGCCTTTTTTTCATCCTTTTTAACTCCAATTCCTTCATGATGACAAACTCCAACATTATGTATCGCAGTAGCGTCTCCCATCTCCGCAGATTTCTGATAATAAGTGAATGCCTTATGTTCATCCTTTTCAACTCCAATTCCTTTAAAATAACAATGTCCAACCATTTTTGTTCCCAAAGCGTCTCCCATTTCGGCAGATTTTTGATAACAAATAAATGCTTTATGTTCATCCTTTTCGACTCCAATTCCACAACGATAACAATATCCAACTCGATGCATTCCGCTAGCATTCCCCATCTCTGCAGATTTTTGATAGTAAATGAATGCTTTATATTTATCCTTTTTGACCCATTTGCCATGCTCATAACAAATCGCAAGAATGAATTGAACCATAGGATTGATTTGCTTATCTAAGCAATATTTAATAATATTTTCCGGATTTAGCTTTTTTTTTACTAGAAATTGTTTTAAGGTGTCAAGAATTGAACTGTCCCATTTGCCTTTTAACTTTTCTTCATTATATAGTTTATACATTTCTTTAATGA